AATGTAACCCCGTTACATCTATTGTAACGGGGTTACACGTATTCTGGTAACAGGGGTGTGTGTCACACGAGATGTGTATGGTGTGATCACACCCAAACAAGAATATGGTACGGGCAGTAGTTATGCATGTATTTAGATTTTACTATATATGTATAGAAAATTCTAAACATTTATAATTTGGCGGCTTTGCCATAAAATAAATAAAAATCAGTTTTGGATTTTACACGGAAGAGTGATTAGCCTTGGGTAAGGCAATAATTACTCCTGAAGTAAGCGGATTGCGATCCGCTAAACTCGTACTTGTTCTAGGTAAAGAACGTAAGGTCGGTGACCTGAATCACGCTTCCTCAAGCGCTAAGCTACGTCAGCCCCGCTGCACTTGGTAGCACTTGTAGTCAACCTACACCTGAGTTGTTTAGACTGATCCTCTGTGAGGATGGAGGAATTCTCCTCTTTGCCCCAGGGCATGCAGGACGGGCTTAACAAGCTGATGTCCTTGCTTGGTCCTGAAGGCGTGCGACACCTTGTAGCGCAAGGCCCCGAGGCAATCGGTGCGCGTATAGAGGCATTTTCAAGTACAAAAAACGCGCTGCTAGAGCACCTGCAGCAAAAGATGTCTTCATAATTTGTGTCTATGACGCCACCGTCGGTGACGGATGATTTTTCCCGCACTAAGCCGCTCATGGTGAGTGTTAAGGTCTTTGAGGGGAAGGGTGGAGAGATTATCCTGCTCTGGGTGAGAGACGTCGAGATGGCCATCGCATTCGCCACGCTCCAGACCGAGCAAAAATGCGTAGCGCTTGCCATCTCAAAACTCGGTGGTCAAGCGCGAGAATGGGCACTGACGTGCGGCACTTCGGTCGAAGCTGCGTTTCCCATCTGGGCGGAGCGGAAATCGCAGCTCTCATTAGTGTTCTCGCCGCCTAGTTAGAAAAATCGCGTACGATCGCGCTTCCTTGCCGCCCGACGGGGCAACAAGGAATTGGTGGACTTTGTCCAAGAGATGCGCACTCTTATTGCCGGGATGGCAGCGGATTCCTTCCCTGAGGCGGCCACAGTTACCATCTATATGGAAGGCCTCCGCACTGGCGTGGCCAGAATGGAAATCTTCCGTGTGTATCCGTCTTCGTTTAAAGAGGCGGTGAATGTAGCATTGTATGCCGAATTCAGTTTCAAGTCGGCACGACTTGGTTGGGACGCACACTCCAACAGCTCGTCGAGCGGGCCTATGCCCATGAATCTCAGCTTTGCTGAGGATGGGGGAGCTGAGCTCCGAGCTGCCGGGTAGTACGCAAACACACAACGGTGTTTGTCTGTGAAAACACCCGTCAGATGCGGAACGGTTGCCCTCTGCGCAAGGCGCGTCAGGGTCCTTCGTATCATCGCCTCAACGCTTACTAGTCTGGTTCGTCGCGGGGAAACGACACCACTCAGTTGGCGCGGGGCGACCAACTGGGGAAGAACTGAGTTCTGTTGAGCCTCAGGGAGGCATTGGTTAACAGGGCCCAGCCCCGAAGAGCTCCGTTCTCTTGAACAAGGAACGTGTATGCAAGCCGAGCTTACTGGTCGTGAAGGCGACCGTAAAGGACTTCGAAAGGCCATGGAAGACCCTCATTGATTCCGGGGCGCCGGGCAATTATTCTCGACGCTCCACGATGGAAGGAAGTCAGCTGTATGCTGAGGCGCTGAAGCGCGGTTGGGTGACATCGTCACTGTTCGCCTAGCGATGGGGACACGTGCCACGGTCCCGAAGGTCCCTGTGGACCTCGAAGTCAAGTTTTTTTGACTTTGATAGCGTGGAACGCTGTCTTGTCTTAGACTTGGATGCCCGGTATCACCTCATCCTAGGAATAGCATGGTTGGAACACGATGAGCCATAAATTGATTGAAGGTCAAAGACCTTGGGTTCTAAGCGCACGTCTCCTTGTGGAGCTTTGGCGAGTCATGAACCCACATCGGCTAGGAGACAAAAGCGCTATTGGCGAGAGCACTGAACCGAGGCGGTCAACGTGCTGGACATTGCAATGTCCGAGTTGGCAGACACCAACGGTGTATCGGACAGGAGTTCCGAGCGTGGCGGGTTGATCCTAGAGTGGCACGTGATCCACTGATTGCTGCTAAAGTTTCGGAGCAGTCGCTGCATGTCATGCGTGACATGGTCGGCCAAGGACCGAGGCTTCGGGGGCGACGCCCCCGTGATGCACGTGAAGTAGCACGTAAACCACTGAGCACTGCTCTCGTTGCGATGCAGTCGCTGCATGCCATTGATGGCGTGGTTGGACAGAGTCCGAGGCATCTTGGGCTCGGCCCTTCAGATGCGCTTGGAATGGCTCGTTATCCACTGGACGAAGAATGCGGGGTTAGCAGCTCTTCGTAAACTATATCGGAGCTCCAAAGGAGCGGACAGTGAGGGTGACACCGGACGACGCGGAGTGCGTGTTCATCCTGGTCTCACCAAGACATGGAACCTCTGTATAGAGGCGACGGTGACGCCGTATGCTGGCTGCAAGACGCCGGGCGTCGACCCTGGTCCAGGGTGTGTAACCGATGACGATGGTGCACAGTTCTACACTCTCGTCAACAGTATTACAGAAGAGGAAGATGGCGGCGTTCATCTCGAAGCTATACCTGCAGAAGATGCTCTTCTTGAGCGGGACAAGATGTCCCTTGAAGAGTTCAGCAGTGCCTTGAAGGCAGACGATTCGGCCGAAGTGGTCATTTAATGACCGGATGAGGAGATAAAGTTGTCATCGCGTTTGGATGAAGCTGTCTTGGAGGACACCAAGAGAGTGCTGAACGCAAGAGGTGGATCGTCAATCCTACAAAATCCCTTGGATCTGTACTATATTTTGGTAAAGGAATTTCAAGACGTCGTCCCCAAAGACCCACTTTCGGTTTACCTTCGAACCGAGGTGTGCGTCATGAGATCGACCTGGTCCCGGGAACCAAATACTGCGTAACCGCCAAAGGCCCCTGCCCAAGGAGCAGTGCGACATCATTGACGTATTTTTCCGTGCGAAGCACGACGCAGGGTTAGTGCGTGAAAGCAAGTCTCCCCATTCGACACCCACGTTTTGTGTTCGAAAGCCGATCGGCAATTGGCGTATCGTTCATGCTTACTATAAGCTCAACGCTGCCACTATTCCGGCACAGACGCCAAATTCTAGAAAGGATGTTTTTCAGAACAACATGGTGGGATGTACGAGGTAGAGTGCACTAGACTTGGTAGATGGATACTACCAATTGCTCACGAAAGCGAGGGATATTCCGCTAACAGCGGTGAGCACTCCGAGCGGCATGCTCTGGGTGTGGCTGGTGA